TTAATATGGAAATGAGTGCTGAAGGCAGGATAACACTTTCCCATTTTGAAAGAGTACTGATCCAGCTCAGTTTAGTCACTAACTGTTAGGATTCTGTTCCTGTTTATCTGTTTACTTTGCAACTTGAAACTCTAAACAATAAATCTTGTTCTATTTTAATGAAAAAGCTTACAAGGCACCTATCAATAGGCATCTGAGCACAGGCAAAAACATTCAGAACATTTACATTAAAATGAATAATAAATGTAGTAATCTTTGTTTTCCCCAGCCTTTGGGCTCTCAAGCAAGGAAACTCCATATCTCACAAGCAGAATTCTTTACAACTAAGCCTCAGAAATCCATATCAAAGGAGAATAGAAGACAGAAAGCACAGAAAAGTAGAAGAACTACAATGATGAAAAACTGGCCTCAGGATAAAATAGCTACATTTATAGTTAGATATACAAGATGTCATAATTTATAACAAACAAAGGTAAAACATTCTGATGATTCTACTTCTTCCTACAATCATTAAAAGGTGGTTAATGATTGAGATATATAGCAATTATACTACTCTTAGAATTGAATTGCCTAACAATTACTTTTTTCACTGCTCCTGATTTACACAGATGAAATAACTTTATGAGTACACCTAGTAATGGCATATCCAGCATATAATTTAAAGTATTTCCTACCACTCATATACATTTGTATCCCATTCATTTGAGTGAAAATGCTCAGTACTGAAGTGATTTCCATTTCTTATGCCCACAACATTCTAGTCAGTCTCCAGCAAATTCCTGGAAAAGGTCAGAATGGCACCTTCATTACTAATGATTTACTCCCACACTCAACATGTTTTTTTGCCAGGGCTTCACATTAGATTTCTTCCTTCCTCACCCTTCCTCTGTAGTTAAAAAGCTAATAGATACACTTCTCTATATTTCAATTCCAATCTAAAACATTTTGATTGGTGAAATAAGATAAAACGATAAGAGTACTCACAAAACAAGCACAAACAAAATGATTTTTTTTATGTTAAGTGTGAGATGATTTTCTTTACACCAAAGTATCAACCTTTGTACTTCCTTTCTATAAGCAGACTCATTGTTCTTATTTATGAGTCCCACCACTGTCGTATCATCCGCAAATTTAATAATTGCATTGGTGTTATACAGTGGGGTGCAATCATGTGTGTACAGGGAATAGAGGAAGGGACTTAGCACGCAGCCCTGGGGAGCTCCTGTACTTAGTACCAGGGTAGAAGAATGGTGAGATCCCATCCTTACTGACTGTGGCCTATCTGTCAGAAAATCCTTTATCCACATGCATATCTCCTGAGGTAATCCCAGGTTGATCATTTTAAAAAACAACCTATTTGGTAGAATGGTATTAAAAGCAGAGCTATAATCCACAAACAACAGCCTCGCATAAGTTCCCTGATGTTCTAAGTGGCTCAATACAGTATGGAGTACAATGGACACAGCATCATCAGTAGATCTATTTTTCCTGTATGCAAATTGCCATGGGTCCAAAGAAGGTGGAAGACTAGCCTTAATGTAATCCAGCACCAATCTCTCAAAACATTTCATAACAACAGATGTTAAAGCTACTGGTCTGTAATCATTGAGAGATACCACAGCTGACTGCTTGGGGACTGGCACTATAATAGATGTCTTCAGGCAAGTGGGGACTGAACACTGCAACAAGGATAGATTGAAAATATCCGTAAAAACTCCAGCTAATTCTGCAGCACAGCCCCTAATAACTCATAAATAATTACTTTGCAACTTGAAACTCTAAACAATAAATCTTGTTCTATTTTAATGAAAAAGCTTACAAGGCACCTATCAATAGGCATCTGAGCACAGGCAAAAACATTCAGAACATTTACATTAAAATGAATAATAAATGTAGTAATCTTTGTTTTCCCCAGCCTTTGGGCTCTCAAGCAAGGAAACTCCATATCTCACAAGCAGAATTCTTTACAACTAAGCCTCAGAAATCCATATCAAAGGAGAATAGAAGACAGAAAGCACAGAAAAGTAGAAGAACTACAATGATGAAAAACTGGCCTCAGGATAAAATAGCTACATTTTTAGTTAGATATACAAGATGTCATAATTTATAACAAACAAAGGTAAAACATTCTGATGATTCTACTTCTTCCTACAATCATTAAAAGGTGGTTAATGATTGAGATATATAGCAATTATACTACTCTTAGAATTGAATTGCCTAACAATTACTTTTTTCACTGCTCCTGATTTACACAGATGAAATAACTTTATGAGTACACCTAGTAATGGCATATCCAGCATATAATTTAAAGTATTTCCTACCACTCATATACATTTGTATCCCATTCATTTGAGTGAAAATGCTCAGTACTGAAGTGATTTCCATTTCTTATGCCCACAACATTCTAGTCAGTCTCCAGCAAATTCCTGGAAAAGGTCAGAATGGCACCTTCATTACTAATGATTTACTCCCACACTCAACATGTTTTTTTGCCAGGGCTTCACATTAGATTTCTTCCTTCCTCACCCTTCCTCTGTAGTTAAAAAGCTAATAGATACACTTCTCTATATTTCAATTCCAATCTAAAACATTTTGATTGGTGAAATAAGATAAAACGATAAGAGTACTCACAAAACAAGCACAAACAAAATGAAGTACACACACCTATTTGGTAGTGGGATGGGGGGAAAGTATTGTACTAAAAAAATCTTAGTACTACTTCTCTGGTTTGATCATGCTTTACATGTTATTTGAATGGAATTTCTGGGGCAGGTCACTGCACAAATCAGCACAGAGATGGACAATATATGGCCTGTGTGCCACATGCACGCCTTAAGCCCAAAAATGCAGGACTGCTGATGGCAATATAAATACACCACTGACATTTGACTGGACCACATGAAAACTTTCTTCCACTTTGCCCTCTGCAAGGAAAATACAAATGTAGGAATCTGCTATATACTAAGTCAGACTACTAGACTAGCTTGGTACTGTCAGCTCTGACTGGCAGTAGCTTTTCAGAGTTTTCTAGCAGGATTCCTTCATAACTCTGACTTGAGACTTTTGGTATTCACTGGTGGTCTCCCATTCAAACACCAAACAGATCTGATTCTGCTTACTTCCGAAAATCAGACAGGAATAGGCATGTTCAGCGTGGTATAGAAGTAAAGACTATGCCCTGTTCTCCCTGTAGGGATAGGATAGGGCACAAGGGAGCTCTGCCACCTTCCTGTAGCACACAATACTGTTGCAATTGCAGCTGCAATTCAAAGGCAAACTGCAGTGATGGTTCGACAATCTTAGTAGTAGAGAATATTGTGTGGCCTGCAGTGGACTGGACTATTTTCAGTTAACTTTAATTCTCATGTAAGTTCAATTTGAAACTGGTTAATAATAACTATTAGTCCAAATAAGTTTTTACAACCCATGGTTTGAAGCTATGTTATTTGAAATTCACCACAGTTGGGTGATCTAGGACAGTGGTCCCCAACCTTGGGCCTCCAGATGTTCTTGGACTACAATGCCCAGAAGCCTTCACCACCATCTCTGCTGGCCAGAATTTATGGGAGTTGAAGTCCAAGAACATCTGGAGGCCAAACATTGGGGACCACTGATTTAGGGGGTGTTCCAAATAAGAGTTAACAATGAAAGCAAAAACTTGCAATCTCCTCTGTATTAGATATTACTAGGCCACTGTTAAAAGCTTATTTTGTCATAGTTTTTATCACAAAAAAGGCCTACTGAGAATTTTCTCATTTGTGTATTAATGGCCAAAATCATGTTACAGAATGGCACAAATGACATAATTTTAGCAGCAAACTGCTGTAAGTTAAGAACTCTTCATAGATATTATGGTAATGCACAACAGACAATCCCCATGGAGATTTCTTAATGTACAGAAATTTACCATTAAAATATTACATCTTTTGTGTAAATGCTCAACAGGATTACAGAAATTATATCTTACTACTTTGTTTAGTACTAACTGATCTTATATCATATTTACATTCTTTTCATGCCTAAATGGGATTTTGCTTGTACATATTTTTCCTAAAGAATATTCTAGACCTTATATATGCTGCACTGTCTGAAGCTATGCCGAATCAAGGTCTGCCAGCCAATTTTTGAGGAGGTTCTTGGGCAACTACAAACCATGTTTTGTTAATTCAAACCATACTTAACCTTTCTTACCCCAATTGCTCACAATGCCCAAATGACGCCTAGAAAATGCAATTGTAGGAAAATTAACTCAAAAATAAATCTTACTATTTTCAACGCAGATTTCTCCAAGTAAGCGTATAAAGAAATTCAGCCTTAATCTATCTATTTGAGCACCTAAGTGCTCTGAAAATATTAAAAATAAAAATTAAAAGTTTAAAAGGATTAAAAGGGGAGCAGAGCTTGATACAAACGCTGTTCCTCCCTCAAACCGGAACCGGAATCTAATCTATCTATTTATATCAGTTGTAGCCAATGATGGGGCATGACAGGGAGCCAAACAATATCTTAGGCATGCATATAATTTACATTTTAACATGTGGCCTACCTATTTCAATCACAAAGAGCTTGATAAAAATAGCTGTATTACTTACCCCAGATTCACCACTAATAGAAATATCCTCACTACTTTTTGGAAGAGTGTGCAAATACATATTCTTAACTTTACTTGATTATTCTATCTATCTATCTAATGATGCCTATCAGCTGAAATGAACACCAAGCAAATAAAAATAGTATTACTAACACTAATACGTGAAACAGTACATTAATCCTTCATGAACAACAATACTGTATTTATAAAAAACAGTATGTATACATCAGATGCAAAGGTGGCAGATTTGGTACCTTCAATTGAAATCTTTCATTCTGACTTTCAAATTTAAGTCTTTTTTTCTTCTCAACATCAATTTTGTCAGGTGTTCGAAAAAGGCACCTCATAAAAACATTTCATAAACTCTCATAGGCACTTTCCATTTCTGTCCAAATTGCTTCTGTCTTACCTGATCTCTTGACTGTGGAAGCGAAGCCTGAAGATTTAGGATTTGATTGAACAAAGGACTTTGCAACACTGATTTCAGCAAGCTCAACTTCTCTTCATTTGCTGTATCACCTCGTTCCCGTAACTTTGCCTGCAGGCGTTCTACTGCCAGGAGGGCACGGTGTGTATCTGAAAGGATATTCAGTATTAGTTAATGGCCTTAATGCATTTAACATGCATTTTAAGAATGGCTGGTTCTTTGGCATTTAAAATTCAATGGAACCACTTATATTTACATGTGAAGACTCAGTGTTTAGAAATTTTTAAACATTAAAAGGAAAGCTGATGAATTTCCACAAATCCTATGACAGCACAAAGCCAGTGGGGGGAACCCAACCAGATTCCTATCCTCTGGATTGTTTATATTAGGCACAAGTCTAGAATCAAAATCACATCTTGTCTGGCCCTTTGGCTTTCTGTCCCAGATAAGCTTCAGCTTTCAACCCACACCCATGTAGCCTCTTCTTCCTCCTTTCATACTTCATGGTCTTGTTATCTGTCTTGGACTTGGTCTTGTCCCAATGACACCCATTTTTCCTCCTCCACCTACTTCAGTTCTCTCACTTACAACTGGTTTTCTTATACAGATGCTTGGACCCAACATCCAAATGGATGGGTTATGACTAAAAGGGAAAATTCATCTTTTACAGACAAATCCAGGTCAAGTCTCTGTCTAACAGATCTTACATAACAGAGTCTGACAACAGTTCTGCCTCAAATCCTGAGCAGCAAGTAGATGGTACAGGGCCAGATGAATCAATATGCTGACTCAATATGAAGGATCTTCACAGTTAATTCCATTTTGTCAGCCATCTTTGCTAATGAGCCTCAACATCATCCCTTGGGCTCTATCTCAATTAACAGCTCTCTGGTAAATATACCATGCGTCTTTCATGTAATTCAGTCTAGCTGTTTAATATTACAATGAAATTAATATACATGGGTTAAGATACTACTGGGTCCTTACAATGATGGAATAAACCTGTTATAAAATCTTGGAGGTAACAGACTTCCCGTCGTCACATAGCCCCCATCCACCCTCAGTACCCGAAGCAGAGTTTCAACTGCTATGAAGGAAAGAAGAAGGAAGAGCAGAGCATCCAGTTGCAGATGCATGGGGGTTCTGCAAGATCAAATAGATTGTCTTTTCTATGATCCACTGATGGACTTCTTCTGTCAGAGCAAGGATCCAATACAATCTTGGACTAAGTATTTAAATATGCTTTTGTATCTTAACATTACCTATTGTTTCCAGCATGGCTTTCATTTGTTCAGTTTCCACTTCACCAAATGGGAGTTAATGCAGGAGCTAAGAGAGGGTGAGAAAGATATTAACAACTTTACCCAAAAAAAATACAAGGTGAAAAAAATGATACTTAACTTTTACTGCTTACTTTAACTTTTTCCTCACATTGCCCATCTTGAACAATACTAATACCATTGACTTAAATTATTTTAACTGTTTTATGATATGTTTTATTTTAAGCCACCCTGAGTAGACATTGTCTAGAAGGGGGGGGGATGAACAAACAAACAAACAAACAAATACTCTATCAAGATGGTATGGCATCCAGGATTGATAATTCTAGAAGAATCTATTGTTACTGCAATTCAAGTAGTTCTAACCCCTATAAAAATGTATTACTTACAAAGTTAGAAAAAGTTACTTATTTTTGGGCTACAATTAACAGAATTTTCAGAGGTGCAGAAAATAAGTAAAATAACATGCCATTTGAATGATACTGAACTAATTTATAGCCCTATCTATCTGTGCAACCGCACAGAGGACATAAGCAACATCATTATGGTGTTATATCATGTGAAATTCAACTGGTGCACTGTCCCAGATATAACACCAGCATGAAAAGCACAGTACTAAGATTTATTTTTATTCAAGGTTGATAAAAATCAATGACTTTTTAAAAATCAAATTGATTTAAAGTACATTTAAAAATGTTTTTTAAATTTAAATTGTCAAAAAACTATTTTTAATTTAAATCATTTAGATTTTGATTTAAATTGTGATTTAAATCAATCTGATTTAAATCAAATCCACCCTGCTTTTATTTATATCACTGTGTATTGTATTAAACATTAAGTTATGATATTGTAAACATAGTTTCCAAATTCTACTAAGTAACAGCATTTTTCGTTTACAAGACTTGTTAATCACAGGAGCATCTATAGGTCACTAATTCATAGGTCAGAATAAGCTGAAAGCAATGTGATGGCACACAACAACAATAAAAATAAGGGCAAACACCACAACGGAGAAAATGACAGAGAAAAGTTGGTGAAGAAAAAATAGCCTAAGTCAGAAGTGAACAGGTTGCTTTTTCATGATCCTCTGAACTTTTTGCAAGTTTCTTTAAATAATATTTTTGTCTTCATTTAAAAATATATATATGTGAGTGCACCCAAAAACCATAAATAAAGGAGACCTGGAGATCTCAACACAGAGCAATTGTAGGTCTTCAGATGATTCGGCAACTAGTTTTTGCAAATCAGTTATCATTCCAGCTATATTTCACTGAAGAAAATCGAGCATAAATCTACAACTTCTCTCTAAGAGATTAAAAAAAATTCTTGTGCAACTGTGATTTCTAACCAGAAGCCTGACTGTGCTTCATTCATTGGTACTGTAACATCTCACAAACCTATTTTAGATAAATACCTTTGAAACTATAGCATGAGATTAACAAACATGTGATGCCAAAGATAGTAAGTGCAGTAATAGGCTTTATCCTGTAGCTGGTTACTGCAGCCACTGCATTTTCTAAGCCTTACTAGAATTAACATTTATATTCAAGCCCACATACTCAATAGGTAGCTCTTGTATCATGGGAAAGCAGCCTTTAGATAGGACCAAAATTAGTACATTATTTACTGTGCAAATAGTAAACTTTTCACAGCTGAAAAAGACAAGAGGGATAGACTTGTAAACTCTTTACACATACAGAGAGAAATGCACCACTCCATCATTTGTGCAGATATTCCAAATTCCATCTTACACATACTATGATACATATCCATGATTTCTCTATTAGCAAAATTATGGACACAACTATCAAAAGAATATTGTCATGATCAGAATGCAAATTAGGTGTCCTACCATGCCTATCTATCACTCAGAATTGTAAGGAATATGTTAAATAGTTAATTCAGACACTACTTTTCTATAACAAGGCAATTTATAATAAACATTGCTTTTCTAAATTCATCACGTCTGAGGAAAAGGAATGGGATATTAAAAGTGCATGCATTTGTGTGTGTATGTCTAAGTGTACACTGAACTTACGCAAACATAAATGTTGTCATTTGTCTCATCTGTCTTCAGGAGAGTGAGAGTGAGTGAGTGAGTGAGTGAGTGAGAGAGAGAGAGAGAGAGAGAGAGAGAGAGAGAGAGAGAAGGCTTCTAATTCTGGAGATGCAAGTGCCAAGGGCAGCATACACAGGTTTGCCCCCACCCAAGGAATAGTTTAGAATTCTGTGGAATCAGCAGGCTGCCCAACATGAACAACTGGAAGGGTAGAGAAGCCACAATGCGTACAAGGCCAGTATAAGGAGCTCCACACTGCACCCTTTTTTAAGCTCCTGGAATTAATTTCTGTACAAGGCTTTAATCACAAGTAGACATGGGGACATATCTGATTTGTCAGATATTCGCCCCTACCTATTCATCAGTTCTAGATACCCCGAAAAATACGAAGGAATGAATATAACCATTTCACATTTGTCCATTCATTCATAGGGGATTCCCTCTCTGCCTATGTCTCTGAAAATCAGCTGTTCTTTGGGGGCTCAAGCAGAGAGGGAAGGTTAGGCTGCCGGAAGGGAAATCTGGCTGCTGTTTACAAAGACAGTAAGGGGCTTTCCTTCAGGCAGGCAGGGGGGCTTGCCCAGTCTGTCTATGTGCCCACCAATCAGCTGTCTTAAGGGAAGCTGCCACCGCTGCCATCTTTGCAAACGGTGGCCCTGTTTCCCTTCAAGAAGGCTCATCTTTGCAAAGATTGTGGTGGCAGCAACAGATGCGGAAAAGCTAGGGAAGTGATGGGGCAGTGGGAAGGGAGTGGAGGGCAGGGGTTCTCAGCTTTTTAAAAAAAAACAGCCATGGCCTGACAAACTGATGAACAAATTTGTACTTCAATTGTCAACCATCTCAACCTTGACAAACCAAAGCGAACCACCATTTTTGCAGTTCATCCCCATCTCTAGTTACAAGTATTTCGCCATGCTAGCCAGAATATACTGTAGACACTGTATATAAATGGTCAGCGGAAAAGAAGAGCCCACTATATTATAAATAACATAAATACCCATAAACACTTATAGGTCATACCAATCAAGATACAAGAAAGAAAATATTTTTGCATCTTTTTAATTAGCGGCTGTTTTAATTGTAGTCATATTACAATCAACTCAATATGGAGGCCTAAATCTAATTGTCTTCCATGCATGTAAGGGGATTTTGAAGAGGTGGGTTTTTATGCGTTTTTTGCTTTTTTTATTATTATTATTTAGCGATGTATGGAAGTGAGAGCTGGACCATAAAGAAGGCTGGCCGCCGAAGAATTGATGCCTTTGAATTGTGGTGCTGGAGGAGACTCTTGAGAGTCCCCTGGATTGCAAGGAGATCAAACCTATGCATTCTGAAGGAAATCAACCCTGAGTGCTCACTGGGAGGACAGATCCTGAAACTGAGGCTCCAATACCTTGGCCATCTTATGAGAAGAGAAGACTCCCTGGAAAAGACCCTGATCTTAGGAAAGTGTGAAGGTAAGAGGAGAAGGGGACGACAGAGGACGAGATGGTTGGACAGTGTCACCGAAGCTACCAACATGAATTTGTCCCGGCTCTGGGAGGCAATGGAAGACAGTAGGGCCTGGTGTGCTCTGGTCCATGGGGTCATGAAGAGTCGGACATGACTTAATGACTAAACAACAAATTTGTTGTTGTTGTTGTTGTTGCAGTTTCTGGGCTGCCTGTTGCCCAATCAGTTGTGCAACCAGAGGAAGACCCAGCACACAGTGAACAACTCCCACTGTTACCCTACGTGTCCTTGCATAATAAACATGACAGGATGGCATCGAAAGCTAGCAACACCAACACATATGCTAAAAGATGGTGTGGCTAATTTATAAATTTATATCTAACACTAAAATAGAGCTGTGCTATCTTAGCAGGTTTTCAAAACTATATTTTATTGTTTCTCCTTCATCCAGCTCTAATCATTGAGGTACACAGTTAAATACATACATTCTATTCAGCTGAATTCATTTTCTAATATGGGTTCCAATGTACATCCACTATATGCCTATGGCTTCTGTATCAATTAATAATATTTGGAAGAAAACCATTTAGGCACACATCTGTTTAGTTGAACTATAATAAATAAGTGAAAGTTCTGACTATTTGATGTCTAAATAAGTCACTATATTCTTTAGGACATCTAGAAGAAAATGAAGTCTCACCTTAGTACTACCAACAACACCAATGAACAATCCTTACTCAAGTTGTTCAGTACTTATGCATCATGTATTCAAATTTATGACTGTATTTTCTTCTGTTGGGGACCAATTCCTAGCTATGGCATGTTCTTTAAAACAAATACACGGGGATTCGGCTCAGAAGTGCCATCTTATAGTTATTTCACTTGTATATCCCCAAACAAGAAAGGCACTTGGTCACTCATCAGTGATCACATTAAAACTCAACAGGTAAAGATGAGATTGAGTTTTATGCAGTCAATGGAGAGTTGAAGTGTCTCAAAAAACTGACCACACTGGAATTGCAATCTTAACTCAACAGAACAGGAATATTTGTGATTAATTTTATAGAGGCCAAATGGATAAACAAAATGTACAGCTCATTCAGATGCCAAGCAAACTGTTAACAACCACCAAGATAAAGGTTCCCCTTGACAATTTTTGTCCAGTCATGTCCGACTCTAGGGGGCGGCGCTCATCCCGCTCTTCAAGCCATAGAGCCAGCGTTTGTCCGAAGACAATCTTTCCGTGGTCACATGGCCAGTGTGATTTAGACACGGAACGCTGTTTACCTTCCCACCGAGATGGTACCTATTTATCTACTCGCATTTGCATGCTTTCGAACCGCTAGGTTGGCGGGAGCTGGGACAAGCGACGGGCGCTCACCCTGTCACGTGGATTCGATCTTACGACTGCTTGGTCTTCTGACCCTGCAGCACAGGCTTCTGCGGTTTAGCCCACAGCGCCACCACGTCCCCAAGATAACGGGCGTAAATATAAAGAAAGTAAATACATTTTCATTTCATTTTTTTTAACAAAGCTTATTAAACCTCTTTTAATTGTGACAGGGAGAAATGTTTTATTTAAAATATGTACTGAAAACCTATCACACTAAAAACTGATTCCCAATTTTATCTGAGAATGCTGAAAGAATGTAGCAGGCAAAGCAGTACAGTACAGCATTTATATAATGAATAATTCCCAGTGCATTTCACTGGTTATTCTCTGGGGAATCTCTAAATATACATAAATATGTCCACAAATACACAACCTAAACATGCCATGAAAATAATTTATAGAATTACTGTAATAATCAGGGAAATGCACTGGGGAATTATTCAACAACTGTTGCCTCATTAACCCTGTTTGCTACACTCTTTCTTGGTTTGGTACTACACACACACACACACACACACACACACACACACACACAGAGAGAGAGAGAGAGAGAGAGAAAGAGAGAAAGAGAGAGAGAGAGAGAGAGAGAGTAATTAGGATCCAAGCTGTAACCTTGCATGCTTCACTCCATAAAGGTCCCAATAATGCCAATCATACTCCCATCCAATCAAAGCATTCCGTACCATGGTAGGCAAGTGAAAATACTGTACAAACAAATTCTCTACCACACAGACTGTGTAGCATGCCATTTGTGCAAACTGACTTTTGAAACAATTTACGTAATTCAATCTTATACTAACATCCCCTATATGGTTTCATTGTTACTCTTCGTGGTGCTACAGTAGAATCAACTGAACCGTGTGGCAAGCCACTATAATTGTTTTGCCACATCAAGTTACTTCTGCCTGCCTTTATAAGGAGCAAATGGACTGCCAAATGCAACTGGGCATCAAGCCTGATTTTCCTTAGGATTGTGACCAGAGGCCCTGTGGATAAACAACATCAAGTTGGTTGTTGTGGGTTTTTCGGGCTCTTTGGCCATGTTCTGAAGATTGTTCTTCTTAATGTTTTGCCAGTCTCTGTGGCTGGCATCTTCAGAGGACAGCACTCTGCAAGTTGACTCAGCATCTCTTATGCAGAAGAACATAATACAAAAACAATCAAGCATTTCTTTAATCACATCAGTCCTGAGAAAATGTTTAACTCATTAGGACTTAAGTCATCCTGTGTCATGCTTTTGTCTGTTCTTTATCTGGACTTCTTATAGGCAATTCTAAAACTTGCAAGGTCAGCAGGCAAATGCTTACAACGTGGTGTAACGTTTACTGCCCACTACCATGCAACAGCAGAATATATGTCACTGTAGCAAAGCAGCATAAACATCCAGATGTAAAGTGAGTTCATTGGAATACTTGCAGTTTAACTTTCTTCTGCACTAGTTTACCCACAACTTTTCTCCTGTAATACAATACTGCACTTCTGCCATCTGGGAAGGAAACAGACCTTATCATATCACACTGAAGTTCATTCTCATGTGGGCATTTATTGCAATGAGTGAATAAAATGACAACAGATTACTATATATTAATTCCATAGAACATCTTGTGACTCTTTAAAATAGTTCTATATTAAAGAAAGGTAAGACATTATACAGCTGTGGCCATGGCCCTTCTACATAAGTAAATAGTTTTAAAATAGAGAATTTTAGAAGTTGTGACATTTTAACATTGAACTATTTGTTACATCCTAGTGTATACCTGCATTTAAAATTGACAATTGTCAAAACTGGGCAAAACTACTACTGGGAATATGAAGCAAAATTTTAGTTACTCAAAACAACAAGATCTACATAAATAAGGAATTTGCCTGCTTGGTTGCAATCCTTTTTCCCCCCTGAATCCATGCTTTACAGGCAGGTATCTGTGTCAGTTTTCAAAGATAGTCATATTCATTGGAGCTTTCCTAATATTATGGTGACAGGGCCCCCATGGAATAGCACTGAGGTATGTTTATTTTAGATATTCCAAAAAGCTGATGACTACCATACCTGGTATACCTCTGAACTCAATCATCACAATGTAACAGACTTAAGTGACCTCAAATGCACTTGAACTTTTGTTGGACTAGGGCTAACATGCTTGCTTAAGAGGCACAAAA